GCCCTGCAGGTCAGAGACCCTGCAGGTCTGAGACGGCCCTGCAGGTCAGAGACCCTGCAGGTCTGAGACGGCCCTGCAGGTCAGAGACCCTGCAGGTCAGAGACCCTGCAGGAGCGGCTCTGGATCATCCTGAGCTGAGCTCTGAACTACACGGCTTTTATCAGAACTCTGTCTGGATCTCTGATGTTTGCAAATGTTGAAACTGACCCCATAAAGAACTGCTCCCAGTCTGGAACCAACATCAACCACCGTCCGACCACTGAGGTCCGGAAGGACGTTCTGGAACAGGAACTGGAGTTCTGATACTGAGAAGGAGTGTGAGATGAAATCTGCAGGAGAAGAAGAAGAAAACTACATCAGACCCTCAGGAGGATTCTGGTAATTTATTGCATCTTTTTAAGCCGTTTCATTGCTGAGCAATGGAAAGGAGACGTCTGACATGTGGCCCTGGGTGGACGTTTTGCCTCTGCTTTGATGACAAACAACCTAATGTCATTTCCAATGACCAGTTTTATGTAGAATGCCGGGCAGAACTCCGGGAAGAGGGACGCTAAATGATCCAGGAAGTCCTCTGGAGTTCTTCCCTACATGCAGCAAACTGCTACAGTAAATACTGGGGGGTAAAGAACATTTCTCTGCATCAGAACTAAGATGGCGGCTAAAAGGATCCTGGACCAGCGTTGGAAGTTTCTTCCGGGTGGCGATTTTTCCATGTTCCATTTTTCAATTGGAAAGTCAAATTTACTGGAAAGTTGTGTTTCTTTTGATGAATATTTTGCCCCAATCAGGCTCAAACAGACATTGATGTTCATCACACTGCTAAGCAGAATCCTCCCTGTGGCACGATAGAGAAGCAGGATTTTTATTAATGTCTGAAATGTCCTGATTACGGAGGCTGACTGTGAGGAGATGAGGCGGTCTGCTCATGGACTCTTTGTTATCTTAGAACCGAGCCAGAACTGAACCGTGCCGAGCCCTGCTGATGAGCTAGTACCATTTTGGCGCGGTTTGGTTGTGTCTGGTCTGGAACGGACCGGGTCAGTCCTGTGTACCATTGGTTACCTTGGTTACCGTGCCTGGTTTCCACAGTAAAACCCCGTCCCCGTTCTTCCAGATGTTTGAGGACTCCTGAAGGAACAGTTCATGTCAAATCTAAAACATGCCA